ATCGTATATTATTGTCCTTTTATCCCCAGAATATGTTTAAATAAAAGTAATTTACAAAAAAAAAAGCTAAATAAAAACAACACCAACTCAAATAATAATTCGTATGGATTCACATTGTTTTTTCCATATTCCTTCAGAAAACTAACATTTATCATTCTCTTAAATATGTACATAGATCTGTCATTTTTAATGTCATTCTCCAGATCGTTTCACAATCCTGTTCCCTGCAGTACACCGTTCTTTCAAACTGGTTCGAAACCAAGTCTTCACAAACATCTCTATCCCCTTAACAAAATAAACACTCTCCCTTTTAACAAAATTTATGTGAATGTTAGAATATGTTTTGTGAGCCTTATACATAAACAGTAAAATATTATAATCGACCAAGTCATAGAATTTCAAAATTTTCAATTGTTAAAATAGTTTATTTGGTGGACGGCTACAATCTTTTCTTTTTCTGTAAAATAAAAACAGGATTTGTGATTGTTTTGCATGCTTTACCCCAGACTTCAATACAGTAAATTAAGCCTAAATTTAAAAAGTCCCTAAAGTTACACACAATAACATGTTTTACTTAAACTTAGTGTAACCTTGTATGCACGTACACGATAAGTGTACTACTGCAAGTAAAAATACTATGTTGACAATAGATCATTTGGTGGCTATTTGGGCACATAGCTGGACCAGTCAGTGAATAGAAACACAAATTTAACAAGCTCGAACAACATTTAAAGCTTAAAGATATATTTATGAAAAATCTCATCTTTGATCTTAAAGAATTCAGTTTAGAACAGAGGTGCCCAAAGTGGGGCCCGCAGGCCAAAATTGGCCCACCAAGCCATTTGATTTGGCCCACCAGCAGTTTTTCTGGTTACTAGATTGTGATTATGTTAAGATTAAATATAAAATACATGTAACTACAAGAGAAACTTAGATTAGATTAAAGTCCATATCTAGATATGCACACCTTATAAGACCACATACTCAAATTTTAAATTATGAAAAGTCCCATGAGACTTTGCTGCCTGAGCATACTTTGAGTTTTCTCCATGTCCATGGGCAGAAAAAAATAATGTAGGCAACCACACTGGCTGCTTGCTTATTCATAAAAATAAAACAACTTTACTTGATACAGGAAGTGTTTGCATTTCTTATATTACTGCATTTGGCCCGCGGCCCTCAGATTGATTTTAATTTTGGCCCAGGGAAAAATGTTTGGGCAGCCCTGGTTTAGAACAAACACATCAGGTCTGTAAAACCATGTAAATTTACCACTTTAATTTGTATGGGTTACAATGGCGTTTGTTCATATAACCCAAAATGTGAGTGTGGCTGCTTCGCGCATGCTCATTTCTAACAATTTCTAATTACAAAATGATCTATATGCTTGCAGAAAAATTTAAAAATGTTGACAATTTTCTTATAATAAGTAAGAAACAACTGTTCAACTCAATATTATTATTGTTATTTTTATTATTATTTAATTAGATGTTATTTCTAAGCAGCACATTTTGTCAGAACATGAAACGGGTATAATGAGGGAGTTCTTAGAAGGAGAGAATTTGAAGCACTTCTGCAGATGGCCTAAGTGTGGTTTATGCCTGGGGAAAAAAACAAAAGTTGTTTTCAACCAGCTGCTTCTCATAAGACATCTGTGCTGAAAGTAAAAAACAAACTACAGAAACTTTTTTTTAAAAAATCAATTTTTTTTTTAGTTTCTTCTTTCAAGTCTCGTCAAGTGTCTTGAAGGCCAGTTGATTCTTTTCTTATGGATTATTTTGAGGAACTGATCAGCATGTGACGGGGAATAGGCTGTTCTATTCTTGTGTACATGTTTTTACTGTTTGTGTCTCAGGTGTTCTCCCAGCCACTGTGAACATGGAGGCAGATGCACTCAGTCGTGGAGCACCTTCCACTGTAACTGCTCCAACAGCGGCTACCGAGGAGCCACCTGCCACAGCTGTAAGCATGGAGGAAGAACTACTGTTTGTTGATGCTTTTTATCAGATGACATCTTACTTTCTTTTATTGGAATTCTTAGAATAAGACAGATGCTGCACGTCCACCATCAGTCAATTTCCTCCTGTTGTTTTCCTTTCCGTCATTATTTCAGAACCTAAATTAGCCGCGTGCATTTGGGAATAGGCCTGACAGATATTTCATTATGCCCTGCAAATTAGAATTTTGTTTTAATTTAGAGGTCTAGTTTTTTTTCTGTTTGTTTGTTTGTTTGTTTCTGACACCTTCAGATGTCCAATTATCTTTGAGTTTCTTGTTTTAATTTAAAAGTTGCTGCATTTTAAAGCCGCATGTGTTAGTTTTATCAACACTATAAAATGTGACATTTATTTTTTAAGCTCCACTCTTAAGGACGTGAAGATTCAGGCTGAAACTCGGTGTTAAAAACAGTCCTCAGTGCATTTATTTATTTTATTTTTTTATTCTTACAAAACAACACGTTGAGTGAAGCAGATTATGCTTACAGAAGTTGGAAAAACAGGCAGTATTTACTGAAAGTGATGCATTACCTGCAGACCTGTGCAGACTTGTAAATAAGTTTGGCCCAAATTTGATGCTTCTTCTTAACAAAAATAACCTGCTTTTGGTACGACATAACGCAGAGAGAAAGTGTCACTCTATCCACTGGGGACTGTTGAAGAGAGAACAAAGGGATTGCATCCTGCAGCAGATGAAAGCCACAATTTTCTCCCACTTCTCTCTTCAAAGAGAACACATCAAGCGCTTGTTCAGTCCTCACTTGTTAACTTCTTCCTTTTCTTTNATCCACTGTCAGGGTCGCTTCACTTTTCGATGAATCTGGAACCCTCCTCTGCTGATCAGCAGGAATCCAGTTATATAATGCAAATAAATAAAGATCTTCCATGTCTTCAATGGAAAGTGGTGCTGGCACATCAGATTCCAGCCCCAGGAATCAGACAAGTCCAGCAGCAACCATTCCACCCAGACAGCCA